CTACGCGCTACCTGCGCCCCCCCGCCCCCCCCCCCCCGAGTCCAGCAAGTCGGATCCCGTCTAGTTCACTGGGGGAGGGGGCATTTATCTCCTGGGCCAAGGAATCTGTCCCAGTGTAAATGAACGAAACCTTCCAAATGGCAGCGAGGCGCCGCAGGTAAGGCACTTGGCAAAGTCAGGAGAGCTGGGTTCTGAGCGGCTGTGTGGGCTAATGGTTAGCACGGGGGGGAAGCCAGGATTCCTGGGCTCGCTCCCTGGCTTTTCCTCTGGGTCTTGGAGCAAGACTCCTGGGTGCACCTGTCACACCGGCAGGGTCCTCCCCCGCCCTGCCCCTCGCCCCGGGAGCCGGAGCTGCGGGAAGGCTCCGGAGAAGCGTGTCCTGACAGCATCATCCTTCGGGACTCCACCCAGCCAGAATGCAGGGCCCGAGGCCGAACGTGGGCCGGGGAGAGAGGCCGGGGGTCGCACGCGCTCCTTAGCCCAGCTGGATTCCCCCCGCCTCCCGTTCTACTCCTGATCCGACAGCCCCAGTGAGGCACCAGAGGGGAGTTCACGGCGGCGGCAGAGGCTGGCAAAGTCTACCCCTGCCACGCCGGTGCCCGATCCGCAGCCCCCTGCCCTCGCACTCGAGCCCACCAGCAGGACCACGGCTTGTGTGTCACATCAGCTACACGGGCCTGGGCTGGCAGAGCTGGGCTGGCACCCTGGGGCATCAAACCGGACACCCCAGGGGCTAAAACCAAGAGCTGCTACAGCTCCCAGCTAGGCCCTGCCATGCTGCCAGGCAGAACAGCCCAGCGGGAGGGCTGGGACACGCAGCCCTGGAGCAACAGGCAGCTGCAGGAAACGCCCGTCACCAGGAGCTCGCCCCCTGCTGGACGAAGGCAGCCCAAGGACACTGCCCCCCCCCAAAACGGTTTTTGTTTAAAAAGCCGTAATCCTCCCACTTAACGGGCTTTTTACCCCAGCTCCACGCGCTGCGTTTTCTAGACGATTTTAATCGCTTTGGCAAGCCGGGTCTTTTGGGCTGGGTTCCAAGATGCGAAGCTTGTCAAACATTCGCAGCTTCCCGCTCCCGCCTCACAGTGAAACTGGCTGGAGAACAGAAACCGTACAGGGACCGACTCTCCAGTGACAGAGGGCTGGGGCGATCGGGCACAGCCGGACGATCACCTTTCTGCCCCTACAAACAAGCAGCAAGGGGCTTAAATTGCAGCAAGGGAGGTTCAGGTTGCACATTAGGAAAAACGTCCTGTCCGGGTGGTGAAACACTGGAATAAATTCCCTAGGGGGGTTGTGGAATCTCCATCACTGGAGAGATTGAAGAGCAGGATGGACAGACGCATTCTACGGCTGGGACAGGCATTTTAAAATCCCCCGCCGGCTCGGTGGCTCTAAGAACAACAGCTAAAGACCCTGCAGAAGCACGTTGTAACAAACGTGTCCCCTGCCCGGCCTTCAGCACTGCAGGATTAGAACTCAGATCGGCCGGGACCATCGCCTGCTGTGCTACGGGCGCCTGGCCCGACAGCGATGCCTTTTGTCCCACACGGGAGCGGGTCAGATTTCAACCCAGAGCTGCAGCCGCGAGCATGTTACAATTAGAGGCCACCCCTTCCCATCCAGGTTTCCAGAACACGCTTCTCTGTACCCCCTGGCTTCTGGGTGCTGAGCCGAGCACGCAGAATCAGGACCCTAACAGCGCAATCAAGTGACATTACAGTCCAATCACCCCCCCCCATCATTTTGTTTAATCGAGGGGAGGGGGGAGAATAAAATCAGCAAAAAGATGCACCCGGATTTCTTCCCCATACACCACATTGAAAAAAAACACGTTAAAAACAAAGGAGCAATTAAAAAAGGGCTATTTCAATGAACTAACACCCCACACTCCTCTTTGTTTGCTAGTACGTGACCACGATGCAAAACCTCCCCCAACGTCTTTGCTTTTCATTTCTCCAAGAGCCAAACTAACGGATGAGGCGGATCTAAGTGTCCGGGTGGATCAAAGTTACCTCCCCCCTGCCCCCGGGAGCCAGGCAGTCGAGCTACCAAACTGCGATGAAACAGAGTCGGGAGGGACAGGAGGCGGCAGGGGAGAGATGAGGGACGTTTGGTCCAAATTTGGAGCTCTGTCCCGAGTTCAAATTGCGTCCCCATGTGGTGCTTGGTTCCACTGTGAAGCCGTTCGCGGTGATTTTGACAGGCTTTCCTGGCCCTGGTCTCAGCACCTCACAGGAGCAGGGTCCAAGGGCAGCGTCCTACTCCTCAGCTGCTGGCCGTGGTCTGGTGCAATGCCACAGTCATGCCAGGATAACGCACAAGGGGGAGGAACCAAGCCCACCTGGAAGAGGGCTGTTCTTAAAAGCACCCTCGGCTCGTGAGAGCTGACAGACTCCAGTGGCGCCGTGGCCAATTCATCCCAGAGAAGGGGTTAGCCCCTGCAGATTTGCCTCCCCGAGGTGAATTCACACCGGCACGTGTCTTTTTTGTCAGCTTCAAGGCTGCATGTGATGCATCGATCCGGAGCCGGCCCGCTGACCGGGGGTGAATGTTCCATCTTCTGCGTGGAAGTTTGTATTCAAATGGATTGCACTTGGCTGCTGCACCCTTCCAAAGGCTGTTAAAAATACGTACCCTAGAAATATTCCTGGGGGAGGGCCTCTCAAACCCAACACAGCTGGTGGCTTCATTTTTTAAGCGGATTTAATCTCTTACAATTTTCGTAGGCAGACACTTTCCAAAACTGGCTCATTTCTCCCTCCTCCCCCACCACTTTTCACCAAGAAGATGAAACATTCCAAGCGAAGGGGGAAAGCTTTTACTTTTAAAAAAACACCAACTGCCAAAACCCTCACCAAACCGGACAGTGTCTTTCCTGGGCGCACGCACGAGAGGGAAATGGGTCTCTGCGTACAAGTCCTGGCGGCTCAGAGCTGGCGAACAGCTGTAAGATCTACCCAGGGATGGCACCGTGTTAATTCGCCTCGTGCCGGTACGAGCAGGAAGCGCCGGGGAACGACAAGCCTGATACAAACGGCAGCTGTCAGGGCGCAATTGCTACGCTGTCCTGGAGGGGTTTGACAGCCGCACACAGAAAGCACCAAATTAGGGACCATTGGGCAGGAAACCATAGAAATGTGGGGCTGGAAGGGACTTCGAGAGGTCGCCATGTAGACCGGACCACAAACGTAGACCAGCCCCAACAGCGGTTTGCCCAGCCTGGCCTTAACCCCCCGCGATCACCGAGAGAAGGGGTCCTCTTCACATAGCCAATCCGCCCCCTTTTCCCCAGGCTCCCCATGCCCAGCTTTTAACCTTTTCCGTGCCCTTCTCTGGCCTCTCTCCAAGGGATCCACCGACAGCACGGGCACCCGGAGCAGCCAGAGGCCCGGCCAGTGCCGAGCAGAGCGCGCCAATTACTTCCCCCATCTGACACTGCCCCCCCTTGTGAGCACCCCCCAGAACGAGCCTTTCTAGAGGCTGCGGCAGCCAAGTTATCGCCCCCAGATCCTTCCCAGGTCCTGCCCAGCGCTTCCCCATGTTGATTTCCCCTTCTCGAGGGAAGTTCCCTGCTCTCGTCTTTACTGAGCTGCATCTTCGTGGCTTCCCACCCGTTCTCTCGTTCATCCAAGTCCTTTGGAACGCGACTCCCGCCCCTCCCAGCGCCTGGCACCCCCCCAGCGTGGGCATCTGCACGGCTCACAAGCCCGCTCCATCCTCCGAGTCATTCATGAAAATTCCGAGCCCCACGCCTGACCCCCCGTGGGACACCGCACAAGACTTCCCCTCCCCTCCCAATTCTATAGCTCCAAGTCCTCTTTGAGTCTTTCAGCCAGTTCGCTGCCCATCTTGTACTGACGTCCTCTGGCCCACGCGTCCCTCGGTGGCTGATGAGAAAGTCACAGGGGGCTGTGTCAAAAGCTGCCTCAAATCACAACTCCTGCACCCGCTCCATCCGGGGGCCAGTCCCCTTTGCTCAATGGGGCGTGATTTGCTCTTGACCAAGCCATGCTGGCTGTTCCTTAGCACCTTGTTCTCCTCTTGGGCCCGCCACACGGGCTGTCGTATTAGCAGTACCGCCGTATTTCCGGAGCTCAGAGTCAGGCTGACGGTGCCGTGATCACCCGGGGTCTCTTTGCTTCCTTCTTTAAAGATCAGCATGTTTGCCCTTCTTTGCTCCTCCAGGTCCTAACACCCCTGCCTGGGGGAACGCCCACCAACGGCTCATCTATTTGCTGGTCGATCAACACTGGAGTACGCAGCCACAGACCAACGCACAGATGCAGCTCGTATCGACAAAGTCCTCCTGCCGGCTGGCGAGGTCCCCTCCCTGAACGCCGCTAGCTACGTGCCTACACCATCCTGTGCCAGGAGACGGATTTCTTCCCACTCCCGGACAACACAGCTGGGCCGGCAACACTTCGACGAAGCCCCACCCACAGAAGTTGCCCCGGTTTAAGGGCAATGGGTTTAGCTGGGTGCAGACGCTCTTACGTAGCTTTCAAAGCGGCGGCTGGCGAGGTCCCCTCCCTGAACGCCGCTAGCTACGTGCCTACACCATCCTGTGCCAGGAGACGGATTTCTTCCCACTCCCGGACAACACAGCTGGGCCGGCAACACTTCGACGAAGCCCCACCCACAGAAGTTGCCCCGGTTTAAGGGCAATGGGTTTAGCTGGGTGCAGACGCTCTTACGTAGCTTTCAAAGCGGTTTAGCACGTGGCTGTAACTTCAGCAGCATTAGCCACGTTTAAAGTCGTGTTGGATCTGGTTTAACTCCATCGGTACGAACACCACACCCTTCCCTACAGCAATCCGAGCATGGGTGTAGGATAGGTGTGAGAGAGGGGGAGCACTGCTGGTGGTGCCTTCATGGCAGCCAGGGGCTGGTTTTCCACGTCTCAGGCTTCCCATTCAGATGCTGCTTCCTGAGCCACATGGTGCAGCTGTGACTGCACTCCAAGCGAGCAACTCGAGGGGGAAGCAAATTGCAATCAATAGAGGACGATCCTCCAACCCTTTCCCACAAGCCCCCTCGGCAGCCAACGCTGAGCCGTCTGACCCAGGCCATCCTCCTTCTCGTGCCTCTTAGTTCCCACCCCTACACCTTCACCGCGCCACTTCCTGCACACATAGTCCGGTCCTGAACCCTCCAATCGGGCGCAAACTCCCCGGGACAGGCTGACAAGGGCTTTGAGTTTCTTTCTACCCATCCCCTCTCCCCATCCGCCGTCACACGCACAAACTGATCTGACTGTACAGCAGCTAGCGAGGCTGCCCGCATGGCATTGTGCTTCCATCCTTCACCAGGAGCGGCCGGTCGCCCGTCTGAAACGCTCCTGTTCTGGTCCCCACGCTCTGAAATGCAGCTGATTTTTTACATTCATTTTAAATGTTTTTTAAAAAACTCTCCCCAGTCCCCATAACATAATTACGGGGAAAGTTTTATTGGCTCCAAGAAACACTCACTCCTAAGGTGGGGCATTGCGTTAAAAAGAAAACAGAAGGCTGCAAAAAAAAATTTTCTTCTAAGAGGGATAAGAAAGATTTCATGTCAGTATTTTAATTCCCAGTTTGGGAGCAGGGGGAGGGGAAGTGCAGTTGTTTGGTTTTGTTAATTTAAAAAGTGTTCCCAGATGCAGTAACCATGATGGCAACAAAAACAACAATTCTTAGCAGCTTGTCCAAGGGAAGTATCACTAAACCCATTTCACAGATGGGGAAACCGAGGCACAAAAAGGGGAGGCAAGTTGCTTAAGGCCATGTGGTAAGTCAGTAACAGAGCTAAAAACAAGCACACAGGAGTCCTGACTCTGCCCCCAGGATAACCACTAGACCTCACTCCCCTCGCAGAGCTGGCAATAGAACCCCAGAGTCCTTGACTGTAAAGCAGCACAGAAGTGAAACTGACTAGAAAGAGAAGGTGAAATTAACCAGACTAATTTCAAGAAAATATACAGCCTCAATCAGTTGCAGGAATGGAAACTAGGCCAAGCACTTAACGAGAAGCATATGAGTAGGCTAATGAACACACACACCTGCTTGCAGATGCCTCCTGTCTCTGTCTGCAGGATCAGGGTCTATGTTATCAAACACACAAATTGGGATCGTGCCATTAACCAGAAAGGATTCAAACATATTTCTCTCCCCACTCCCCCAACAATGCCCCTTGCTATTTCAAAAACCAACGTGGAATTACATAGCACATTCAGGGTCTCCTCTATGCTGGATTTTGGTTTTACATCAGTGTAGCTACAAAATGATCAGCGTCAATGCCAAAAAAAATAGACCCGCCCCCCTCCAGAAAACAGAACCCGCTCAGCCTAAGCCAGGACGTTTTGTTTCTGAGCATTTTAAACGGTATTTGTAACATAAAACTGAAGGTCATTTCTGAACAAAATGTTATTAGGAAAATCGAACTCGTTGGAAAATGTCAAAACAAAACGTTTCAGGGGCAGGGTTTTGGCCAAAAGAGTTCAGTGAAACTGCCCCGTTTTGCATTGGCATATCCGCCTTTTTCACCTGACAGCAACCTCAGCTAACATTTTGCACCCAGCTCTGTGGCTGATCTCCGATTTCACGCTAGTGTAACACGACACCCCTTGTCCAGGGAATGAATCTCAGACTAGTGGCAATAAAAGCCAAAGCCGCTCCGGTTGGAGCTAAAAGATGTGGCCCATCAGCTCATGAGGAGATTCAAACTTTCACATGCGGCCTGGCCCCTCGAGGGAGGCAAAGCAACCGGGAATGAGGCCGACTCTGCCCAGGGTTCGAATCCCCATAGTGTCACTGGCTGCTCCGCTAGGATTTTACACTCTGACGTTGGAAGGGGGAAGAAGAGAAAGAAAAAATCCAGTGTAGACGCAATGTGGAAAGACATCACAGCCGGAAGCGATGCTGTCACTTGCTTTAAAAAAAAAAAAAAAAAAACAACCCACTCAGAGCAGCACGCTGTCCCACCCTTATTCGCCACCGCAGCCCGTGCGTGGACGAACGAAGCCAACAGGACTTCAACACATCAGCTTAATAAGGGCAAAGGGCCATTTTGACCGACTTCAAGAGGAGCTTAAAAACAGGGGCTTAAAGTTAAGCGCATGCGCAGGTGCTGGCTAGACAGGGTGCTTTCTACAAAGAAACGTGGGTCTCTATTTGCCAGTGAAATCACGTGGTCACGCTTGGTACAGCGGCGCCCTTCGGAAGCGGTTGGCAAACAGTTCATGGCTCCTTGGGCGAATGGTTAATCAGTTATCAGGGCTGGTTATCAAATCCAAGGGGCCGACGGGAAGTGGAGACCCAGCCACGCCACCCGTTCCACGCCCGGTTTGATATGCTCGCAACAATCAAGCCACCTTTTCTTAACCCTTTGCAAGCCGGGGGGAACCGAACCCTCATCGAAAGCGTCACCAATTACTGATCAAGATATTTAAAGAGATATCGTTAAAAGCGCGGCTCCTGCACATGGCAAAGAGGAGGAAGAGGGGGAGGGGGATTTCCCAAGTCAACTCATAAGGCTATCAAAGAAAACATCCCCGCTCAGTGAGAAGAGCGGGAGATTGAAACAGCTCCCGCCACGGACCCCTCCCCCGCCTCTCTCATTACCCACAGTGCATTAGGAACCGAGGAGGATTTTTTTTTTTTTTTTAAAGATACGGTGCAACATATTTCCCCCCCGGCAAACCAACAAAAAAATTAAAATCAAATCAAGGTGGGACGCTAAAAATAATCAACGTAAGAAATGAAAATAAAATAAATCAGTGACTGGAAAGGGCGACAGGGAGGAAGCGGCTTTTACTGGAGACTCTCGGCCGAGGCCCCTGCATCTCCGTCATGGCTGCCCGTCTCAAAACTGTGCTCCACTCCCATGATGTCCGGTTCCATCTTCCCAGTGTCGTTGATAAACGTGGTGTAGGTGTCACCTTCTGCCATCAGCAGCTTGAGCTTGGGGATCCAGCTCTTCCGGACCACGCGCCGGGCGTTCGTGCACATGTCGGCCGCGATGGCGTTCATCTCGCTCTCCTTGAAGTTGGGGGCAAAGTTCTGGCAGTAGACTGGGGAGTGGGGCACAGAGAGACTCTTGTGAGTCAGGCAACCAGACTAGCACCCAGGCCAATCCAGCGGGCAAGCGTGTTGTGAGACCCCCCTCCTGGTGCCGGAAAGGAGAGGGGGGTGTGTGTGGGTGTAGTAGAAAGGGGCCCCCCACATTTTTTCTCTAGCAAAAAATGCAAATCAAGTGACACCAAAGTCTTTTTCAAATTCATGTCAGTTTTGCTTCATTGTTCATTAAGGATTAAAAAAAAAGCTTTTTTGGTTGGAACCGACCTTTTGTTTTCCTGCTGCTCTCGAAGTTCAAAGAGCGTTTTAAAACAGTCAAAACAAGCCAGGCCCGTTTCGATGATACCAAACGTTTCGTTCCACCCACAACTGTCCCCACCACCGTCTTTTCATTCGCCAACCGGTCCATCGTTTTGGTTTTCATTCCAACCAGAAGCTGCAAGGTTTGTCCAGTCCAAACTGGTCATTGTTTCTTTCAACCCCCCCCCCCCCCGAAGAAAAAAAAACAAAAAAACCAACCACCCCTTTTCTAAACGGTCAACAAACCAAAAACATCCGATCTGCATCCGAGTGGAAACCCACCCAACACAAACAACAATCCTGAGCAATTAAGGGTCTAAAAGCGGCTGAGATTAGAGCCGGGTGAAAACGGCAGGAATTATTAATATTTTTAAAAATCAAGCTTCTTAGCTTGGGCCTATATTTTTTGACTGCCTGCAGCCTCTAGCCAGTAGGGGGCACAACCTCCCTGATGGGAAATCTGTCTCTGCCTATAGACCCCCATTCTCTGCTCCCCATGGGAGGCCCTTCAAAGGAATTGGGGCCAGGATTAGCGGCTCCCCCCTCCCCCAGAGGGAGGG